TTATTTGAATTATTTTAATTGATATATAGTTAGTAAGTAATTATATAATTAAATATTAAACTAAAAGATTTTGATAATCTTATTTTTGAAGAAGCTCTTGTCAAAAGAATATGTGAATTAATTGACAAATTAAAAATTATATGAAAACTAGTTCTTAATAATATTTAAGAAAAATAATCAAAACAAAAAGAATAGTATAATAAGAAATAAAAGTTAATAGTTTTTCAGATAGGATAAAAAATATTGATAAAATAAATAGAAACTTAATACTAACATATAATAAATTTGATAAAAAATAAAAAGAATTATTTTATGTTCATAAAGCATATGATAAAGAAGCTTATAAACTTAAAAATAAAGATAAAAAAGTCTTGAAGAATTTATATAATAGTAATCACTTAAAATTATATATCAAGTTCAATAATTTAGAACTAATAATTATTATCAATAATAATTAAAAAAAATTTATAGAGTAAATTTTTTAAAGCTAGAGATTCTGTAATTAATTATTTATTTTTATAATGTAATAGATATGATATAGTATATGGCATAGTCACAATATATGGTGCAATAATTACTGATTATTACTAAATTAGGTAAAGAAATTTATATTAATTAATCTTATTTATTATTAATTTTATTTTTAAATTATATTATTACCTATATTTAGTCTTAAACTTTTATTAATTTAGCTATATGTATTATATTTAATTTATAGTTTTATTAAATTATTAATTACCTAATTAATTATTATTAATTTTCTTTTATTTTTTACTTTAGCTTTGAATAACTTAATATTTCACTAATTTTAATTCTTAATTATTATATATTTAATTTTTTTGTGATTATTCTTTTTAAATTCTACTTGTTCTTAAGTAAATTAGATAAAATATTGTGTTAAAAATAATTTATAATTAGTATAGCAAGAAAATAATTATATAGAGAGTTAAGAAGTAATCAAGAAAAATAATTAAGTTTGATAGAAAGAATTAACTACTAAGTTAAGAGTAGTTAATTAGTATTTTTCTTTAACAAACATATATATATTACATATTTTATTTTCTTCTTGCTCTATTAAGAGAAAGTATTTTATTAAAAATAAAATATATATAAATTATCTTATTGAGAAAATAATTATATTTTATTGGAAGTAAAATATGTATATATTATTTTATTAAAAAGATAATTAATTATATAATCTCTTGAAACTATAAAAGTGAATAATTACTATGAATACAGTTACTATTACCATTTTAAAATATTTATATATATATAAACTTAAAATAGTAATAATATAAAAAAATTTTTTATATTTAAATAAATTTCAATATCTAATAACTTAATTAAATAAGACAGAATTAAAATTTTATTTTGAAAAAATAATGTATTAATATTTATCTGAGATATATTTCTTTTTATATTAAGCTATATATTAAAATAAAATTTATTAATTATAGTTTAATATATATTTTTTTTAAATTTTTTCTAAAAAAATTATTCTAATTATAAATTCAAAATAAAAATTTTATTAATTAAATTTTATTTTTAATTAGTAAAAATTTTTATAGTAATTTTATAATTAAATAACTCTTTTAGAAAAAATCTGAAAAAAAATATATATTAAATTATAATTATTTATTAATAAAATTATAAATTTTAATATAAAAAGAAAATTTTAATTTTCATTATATTTTATTAATAAATTTAGTTTCTAATTATTTTTAATTATTATTATATATATTTTTTTAGATTTTTTTTGAAAGAATTATTTTAAATTACAAAATTATTATAAATTTTTTTCTAATTCAATTTTATTTTTAATTAGAAAAAAATTTTATAATAATTTTATAATTAAAATTATTCTTTTAAAAAAAATTCTAAAAAACTGAAAAAAATATATATTAATTATAATTTATAAACTTTATTTTGATATAAAAATAAAAATTATTTCTTAATAAAATTATAAATTTTAATATAGAGAAAAACTTTAATAAGATTAATTTATTTATTAATTTTAACTATTATTATATTTTAATATTTTTTAAAATAGTTATTGAAAAATTAAATAATTTATCAAAAACTTAAATAATTTTATAAAATTTTAATTATATAATAATAATTATAGTTATATAATACTTGAACTTTTTATTAATTACTAATTAGTAAAAAATTCAAATATTATATTAATTACAATTATTATTATAATTAAAAATAAATTCAAAAAAATTGATATAAAACTTAATAAAACTGATTAACTAGAATGAAATTATAACCAATTTAATAATTTAAAGAAATAATAATTATAATATATTTAAAATAAAAAATAAAAATTTTATTAAAATATATATATTAATCATTTTTATTTTTAATCTTACATTTTTAAAATATTTTCAAAATAAATATGAAAATATCTATATTTACCTGTCTTAAAACTATTACTTTAATTATTAAGTTAAATTACTTTTATATTTTAATATTATATAATTGATAATTTTGCTATTTTATAATTAAATTAATACTTTATAATTAAGTTTTTAATTTTTTTAAAAATAGTTTTATTAGTTTTACTTATATAGCTTGCTAATATATTTTTATTTGTGTGATTATTTATAGATATTTACTAATAAATTCTAGTTTAATTATTATTATAAGATAAAATATAAAATTCACCATAATATAAATTGTTCGATAAGATATTATTTGATTTGTCCAATAATGATATAATGCAATATTCAAAATTCATTATATAAAAATATTATTCCTTAAAAGTTTGAAAGATTAATAATTTTATATTATAGTTTTATCTTATAAATATAATTTTCAAAAAGTTAGCAAACTTTTAAACTACTAAAGAACGTTTCTATGACTCCTTTATACTTCAAATTATGCTAATGATCTGTGCATAATATAATGGAAATAAGAATAAATTAGTGATTAAAGGAACTGAATTTGAAAAACAATATGGAAGATTAACAGTTGCTCAAGATACACAGTGTAATATTAGTTGGTTAAAGGACTGACTTTAAATCATTCACCGGACAAGGATAATTGCGGCAGATCCGTTTCAAAAGTTCTGTGTAAGACACGTGTTAGAAGAATATGTACGAGCAAAATCTGTTTAACCAGGTGCAACATTTCTATGGTTGCACTGCCCCCTGGAACCCTAACCCACACAGTAAATCTGAATCGGATTTCAAATGAATATGAAGTTTCGACAAAAATGAATTACGTAATAATCCAAAATTATATTTAGCGTATTCATTATGACTGCAAATATGTGGCAAACCAAATTTTTAATACGCTCTAAAATTTTTTCAAATGTACATGTATTGTGGCGATGTATTAATATTTATATTTCGATTCATTTGTTTATTAATTTTCATTTTATATAATGATAAACTATCATCAAGAAACTCTGACCTCAATCTTCTATACTATTATTTCAAGTATAGAATACAAAAAGGATATATTAAACAATTACTAAAACAGGCTTTTTATACTTAGGCAAAGCTGACAAAATCTTTTTAATCAAATAAACCAATAATTTGATTCAATTTAATTCCAGTTCGGTTCTTCAATTTATAGAACTGAGAACCGAACAGAACCGAATCATTAGAACTGGTAATAGAAGCTCGACAGTTTTCAACAGTTTTTAAAGTTTTTAGTGAAAGTGCATTGGTGGATACAAGGGACAATCGGAGTGCTTAAAAGTGAAAGTGTCGTGCAAAAGCATTTTAGACGTCAATTTATATATAGAAAATGACCATTTTGCTTAGGAAAATTAAGTGTTCGATTACGAATATTTTAAATTTAACTTCAAATTCAGAAACAACTTATTTTACCTCCGTATCATACCGAACAGGATATGCATACTTCTGTAAACCCAAATTTGAATTTATCTTTGTGCGGTGAAGAGCAAGTCATTATACTCGAACAAATTCGTTTTACCGACAAGTTTGTTTTTCGGTTTATCTTTTTATACTCAATCATATAACCTATTAATTTATCTTTAAATTAAGGAAGCATTAGATGATAAATATCATGTTGTTAGATTATTAAAATTTCTGTGAGTTCTATTCTCAAACTTTATGGTGAAATGATTCAATTCAAATGACATTCAGTTCATTCAGATGACAAGTGTTTGCACAAAATTTTCCTTTGCTTTATGTGTGATTCGATACTATATACATGTAGCAGAAAACAACAAGCGTTGATCTCTTATTTCGGATGCTTGCATATCGAATATTAATCAAGCATCATATATTGGTAAATTAATTGGAAATATGGATCTAGTTTTACCATATGTTTATTATTTTTTTATAAAAAATTATATTCATTATAATTATATTATACAAAAATAAAAATGATTACCTTTAAATTTTCAATTGTATGCTAAGAATTGATGGAATTGATGAGAATTAACGATTTAATTCATTCAATTTGCAAAACATTTACATATATACAGGTACATATGCAAGAATATTATAATACGTACAAGATGCCTTACCTTTGATTTATTTCCTCTTCTAACAAGGGTCATGTCAGAATTGCAATCAATTTTTTTGACTACTCAATAAATGCACAAATCGGAATTAAACTTAAATTGTGTGTTATACAAAGGTCCGAAATTCGGATCCCTTATCTCCGGAACTATAATTACACCGAATAATGAAATTTTTAAGTTTCGCAATTTTGTTTAGATGCAGCTGTGTATCTTAAAAAATCCATAGAATTGATAAATGTGGAATAGTTGGTTTTAATTATAACTATAACATTTTGTCGAAAACAGAACAGAGAAAAACTTAAAGGATAAAAAAATGACACGAATTCGAAGCTTAAAAAATTATTCGAGCCAACGCAAAAAGTCAATGAACTATCAAAGGATGACACTTAACAACAAATTTTTTTTACAAAATTCTTAGGTCAATAATTAATTATTTCTTCATAATTTCTATTCTTATGTGGAAATTGGTCATATGCTATATCAATGAGTTAATCACTTACTGGTTTAAGTTTGAGTATATATTTGAGGAAAGTATGTTTTCTTGAGAATGAACGATGTCAAAAGTTTGAGTAGGATATAAAGCATCTGGAATATACCAAGCGGGAGGATCATAAAGGAAATCTACTAGTTCAAAAGAGCTGTTTTGCATTTCGATACAATTATTTTGTGGAACATATCCGTTATCATACATCATATTATCCACGGAAATAGGAATATATTCCCGTTTATTTTCAGCTGAAATTTTCCCAGCCGAGCTTTCTGCTGCATCAATAGAACGAATATTACATTTAGCTATTGTACGAGATTCCATAGGTGTCAAAGGCATATCTATTTCACTTTCAGGTGAAGAAGGTTTCTTCGTGTTATTCGACAAAATAGGTAGTGGTTGGGGCGATGATAATGTTGATGAGGATGCTGATTTTGATGATGATGATGATAACTCATGTTTAGAAGCATTGTTTTGTGTATGGTCTACTTGACGGCTTTTTGGATTAAAGCGATAACCAGGATAAATTTTTAAATGCTCTTCCATCGCTATATCTGCCAAAACATAGAAGAAATTTCGAACTTCTTTAGATTCTTCATCCCAAAGCCTTCCAGCGACTTTGGAAATAATTGAATTATGAGGCAATGCTTCCCATGGCTTATCCATCATACTTTTTAATTTAGCCACCAAGTCACGACGAAAAATCATAAATGCGTTTGGTGGCCTTGGCGGCGGATCCAACTTTTGCGTATTTGGAAAAGGTAAGACTAGATTTGATATTTTTAAAGTTAATTCATAGGGAGGATTTAATAATAACCTTCGACGAGAAGCACTGGCATTGAAGAACCGAAGCTCATCATCTATATTCTTATCGGCCGTGTCATTTGGTGTTGATGAAGTTGTTATTGGCTCGTGGATACTGAACTGGGAAAACATATTTTTAATACGTAGTGTAGATTTTGAACTTGTTTAAAATTTATTCGAGGAAAAAAACTATTTTTGATCATTTATATTTTTTCTGACATGAACTTTTCGCGGGCTTTTATATTTGCTCGTTGATACAGCTATTCGACCGAGTCAGAAGACAAGTCAAACCTTACACACTGATCACAACCGAAAATTTTTTCGATTTTTTCAAAATTTGGGAGTCGGTAATTTTATTTTCCTTCCATACGAATTTGTTCATAGATTTCGAAGCACATGATTATCGAGTCAAATTCTATAACGATTAATGGTAAGAAGTATATACGGAAAAAAAGCGTGTTACCAACCTCGTTACATACAATACTTTACTAATGACGAAAACCCTGATTTTCCAAATTTTAATACTCCGTCATTAATTCAATTCACAAAAACTATTTCGATATATTCCCCTGTGGCGTGCGTGCTTCTCGAATAATTCCATTATACTATTTCCGTTTCTTGCCAAGAGATCAATTTTTAATTTTGAAACAAAAATTTTTAATTGGTTGATTTCTAATGTCAAATTTTTACTCGAGTTTATTAAAAATCATGCGAGAAAATTTTTTGCCTTATTTGTACTGCAGCAGCGGCGGTAAGTTAGGTAATACTAATTTTAATATCTTCTATTGGTAAATAAAGCAGACTCATTCATAAACGTAAATAGGTTTTTATTTGAATTCTCACGCATCTAACAGGGTTACGCATTAAAGTTATTTAATATGCTGATGAATATATATTAGCATATGACATCATTTAAAATTGCGGCAAAAAGCAAGTGCGCGTTTTTTTGTTTAAGCGTCCTTGAAGTGAGCTATGACCATATTGAAATTTAAAATGAATATGAAAACAAAGCTGCCTCTTTTTTTTAATGACATAAAGTTCATTACTACAACTTTTTTCAAGTAAAGCCAATTGGTGGTGAAAATTGCCTAATTGCCGTAACATACAAGTTACTACTATCCTTTCATTATTCTAAATTATTGATTGGTTTAAGTATAGTAATATCTTTGATCTAGACCAAAGAAACAAGAAACCTGTTTTTTGCAAGCAACGAAAACCTACGTTTTATTTGTCACACCGAAGGAAGGATTGAATTTGTAATCCAAACATCATTCATTATATAACATTTATCTAATATTATCTAATCATGTCAATACAGTGTGCGTAATAAAACCAAAATTGCTCATGCGGGGCATACGATTGGCACATTCATCTCGTCTTGATCTGAAAATTCCCCGCCGAGAGCGATTGAAAAGCTTTGACCTGCAAATCTTGCCCGAAATCAAGTCTCATTCTATTTCGCAGATCTACCGCGCGCATATTATCTACATGTATTGTGTTGAAGGTGAAATAATTTGTGTGACTATATTAAGAAAATTTGGATACCGATGCGATGCCATTTGAAGATCATTTCTGGTCTAATAATGATAAAAGATTCGGGGTATTTCGCCATGGTTACATCTCCGAGGTTCACAAAAAATAAAGGAATTTTATTTATCATTGTTTTAATTTGCGCATGGCAAAAAAAGATTTTCAGGGAGTTGAAAATTAAAGTTTGTTTTGCATAATTAACTAATATTAACGAACCAGTGGTTTTTTTAGCGTTCGGAACGGTTTATTATTAGTGACATATATTTGTTAGCTTAACAAATGATTAGCAAAAAGTCCATTCATTTAAGAAAATTCATACAATCATCATAAAATGATTTTCATGTACATGTAATTTCCGTCCACATCTTTGTGACAAAAAAAAACTATTAATATTGTTCATGTGTGCAGAATTGTTTTTAATTTGTGCATGTACACGTAATATTTTTTCACATTACTTAATAAATTTACTACAAAAATTAATGACAATAAATTCATAACTACAGTCCGATCATCATTATCAAAAAAACTCTAGCTTCAGTAATTTGTTTCATTGCAAGAAATTGAAATTTATACAGGATTCATATGCAATTTACTTTTTATCTTAATGGAAGAACAAAAAATAGAGAATCAAAATTTAGTATCGCATAAGGCGCACGTCGCCGGTCATGGAATTTCGAACTGATATATATACATAAGTAAACCAATAAATTATGTAATTCTTTAAGCCAACATAATCCTAAATTGGACCAATCAAATTCTAAATAGTAAATTATTTTGGACATACTGTATTTCATATTTAACATATTCCCGATCAAGGCGATACTGAATTTTGAATTCGTGCGTTATGTATTATAAAATTGCAGAGTATTTTCAGCATTTAAAAGTTGGTTCGTAATTATAAAACTATTCAGCTAATTAGTTGAAAAGCATTTTTTTAAATTTATTTATTCCTCAAATATATATTACGAACAATTTGGTTCATTTCTATTTATAGCATATTTTGTAAAAAAAATTGTTGATAGTGTCATTTTGCTCTTTTAAATCTTATAATGGCTCGAAATAAAGGATATTGAAACTAAACATGTTTAACTCTAACTTACATGCAGAACAAAAACCAAACCCTAAGTTGTAAATTTCTTGTTAAACAAAAGGTAAAAAGATTTTTCTAAAAAAAATGCGTGTTAATTTTAGCTAAATATAAAATATCGATAAACAGAACGAGTAATAGATTTATTCAATGTCCTCATGGCATGGGCATTTTACTAATAGTGTAATATGAGATATAAATTAACGAGTTCGAACATCAGGGTAATGTTCATTCAAAGTTGAACATTTCGTAATGATTCCGAAAAATGCGTCGAATATCGAAATTTGAATGTATTATTGTTCAAGGAAATAATACAAAACGTCGAATTTTATTATGATAATCATACTAAGACGTGTGTGTTTGTTGTCCCATTATGCTTAATTACTAATAACCTCCAAAAAAAAGAAATGAATGAATTATGGAGGTATTGGTTTATTTATTATATTGCGTTATTCCTAAAGTTAAACTTCAAAAATCAAATTGAAGAGTCTATTTATTGTAAGTCACTACGTGCTGCGACTTGACCTATAGAATCTTTTGAGCTCAATAAATTAGATTTTCAATCTTTTCTGATTTGAGAAAAAACTTTTTGAAATTTTGTAACGAAGGACAACAGCAAAACCGTCGCTATTCGTGACGTAATGCGACTTTCTAATGAAATTTAGACACATACATTAAAATGCATGTAAACACAACGATATGAACTTAATATAACGACAAATCAGCAAAGTAAAAATTGTTAATTCATGTACGTTTTCAACGTCTGTGTATATCATTACCAGTTGATTTTAAATGAAACACTTGAATGATACATAAATTATTATGCTTAAATTGCATTGCATATACAGTACAGTACATGTGCTCACGGTAGTACGTATATGTATACATGTGTACAGTTTTTATGAATTAATGACAAGAAATTTTTACATCAGTTCCACCAAACAGTTTAGGGACAGGTTCATAAAATAATCTAAATTAAAAATGAGCTATTGTAAATCCTAAATAATAATAATAATAATAAAATGATACGTGTATTAATTCTAATTATCTATGAATATTTGTTTTTATAGTAGATAATGTTGGTCTTAACTTTTATTTCTCAAATATAACAAACTTCTTTGTTAAAAGCTTTTTGCAATTCAACATTTCAATTGGGAAGAAAAGATTTGTTACAATATTGATTGTGTAGTATTTACAGCTAACGATTAAATGCCATCAAAAACACGTGATAATTTGGTCTAAAACATATTATATTCTATTTGGCAAATAAATTTAACTGCTATTACTTTCTGTTAAACTGATTAATAATATTATTGAAAAATTATATATGTGATTGGTTTATTCATTGAAATACAGTCAAAGCTCGTTCCAACGACACCGTATATACCGGAGTCGGCTTATACCGAAGCAAAATCAAGGAACCGATTTTTATTATATAAAAAAGCCCGTTATACTGAAGTTTACTAATAAAAGCACTATATACCGGTTCCGACGAAATCTAAATTTTTTACTAATGTCCCAAATGCCGTTTACTATATCTTATATACCGGCGCGTAATTTGATTGGTTGATGATTTTCTAAAATAATAATCGGCGGCGCTGAACATGTCACACTGCTTATTTATTGATTTGTCATTTGAAATCATCTCGCTTTCAACTTACTTACATCACCATTCTCACCCCCCCCCCAATACACATTACATCATGGTAAGAACTTTTAAAAGACATTTATTTCTCATTTTTTTGGAAAAAAACTAATATCAAAATGCCACCCACATCCAAAAATCGTGAGCTTGCTGTTATTTTCAATTATGAAGAATTTACAATTTCTGATGTTTTAAAATAGTCAAACAAATGACTAAGTATTGAACCTGGCTTTCAAAGTGCAAATAATATTTGAAATCATGACTTCAAATAATCTTAACATGATACTGCACTTGCTATCTGAACATAAAATACCATATCAAATCATCAAGATCTAACTGGTAACATTATTAAGATGAAGACCAAGCATTTTGCAAATCTCTTTAAATTGATGATTTCAAGATATCAGATGATTAGTTGACTCAGTTTAAAGAATGATATCATTTTCAGCAATATACAAAGCAAGATAAGACTGTTAATATACTATTTATCAAATTATTAATTCAAGAAAGATACAAACTTCAAGAAATTCTTCAATCATCTCATCTTGAGAACATCTTTAATATTAATGAAACTGGATTCTTTTACAAAATAGTTCCTAATAAAATTCTTGTACAAGAATCTCTTTCTGATACTAAAAAAATAAAATATATATTATAATTTTTTGTGATTGCAATACTATTAGAACTGAAAAGCTATTTATATTTTTTATTCATTATTTCAAGTTTTTTCATTATATAAAAGATATAAATTATAAACTTTTTTCTTATTGGAATAATAAAGTATAAATATAAGTAAATATTTTTATTTATAAATAAATAATATTATTTTTTATATTAATTAAAGATATCATCTTAATTAATTGTAACTTG